ATCAGTTTTTATTTGTTTGACTAAAAACTTGGAGCTTCGGGAAGAGATTTTTCGGGGGCGACCACTACGATTTCGGTAACTAATACTACCAGTTTTTTTTTTAATTTAGAAATATTGTAATATATTGTGGATCTAGGAATACCTGTTTGTTTTGTATTTGTTTTGCAGTTTGGATTCCTCTGTCCCATAATTGTTGGATGCTTTGGCATGTACATCTTGAGGGCCATTCATTTTTTAGTTATTTATTAAAAAAAAATGGTACCGAAGTTCAATAAACGGTACAAAGAAAAAAAGATCAATATGATAATCAATTAATAATATATGGGTCACAAGGTTTGTAACCTAAAACGGGCAAATTAGATAATTGATTTTCATTATGTAAATCTTGTCCAAAGACTTTCTTAATGTACTGTATCTTAAAATGATCCAATTCTCTTCACACAATTCATTCTTGAGTCTTACTGCCTGATAAAGGTACTGGGATCTCCTTTGTGAAAGAATTCAATGTATTTTTCATACTGTTGTTCTTGTACTTCGATTACAAAACCATATTCTGGTAATAAATATCAAGTTCTAGTCCTGTGGGATATTCAAGAAAATCGAGTTGACGTAACTTAGACAGCAGTTCAAGATATTTTGATACAATTTCATGGTATAAATTTTCATGTTTATATTTTGAGCAATAGAAACACCATGTACCTAAAATTTTTATATTAAAAAGTGGTATATTCCATAAATGTCCATTAATACATTTTCATAACAAGTCTGAACGAGTATTAATATTTTCTGTAGAAAGACATTCCCATTTTTGGGTAAAAGCAATTTGTTTAACAACTTCACTTTATTAAAAGTTGCATACCACTTATGCCCTTTACACAGTACCATAATTTAGTATCACAATTTTCATATTCAGTTGAAAGACATTCCCATTTTGGGTAAAAGCAATTTGTTTTCATCTTCAAGAGTATGAGGGATTACTCTTATACAATGTGGACACCATTGGCCTCTTTTTATATTATTCAGAGTTGCATTCCATTCATGCTCTTTAGCACAGCACCATAATAAATTATTATCACAATTTTTATATTCAGTTGAAAGATACTCGCCATTTCTATTATAAGTTACTTGTTTAGCAATTTCAAGGTTAAGAGGTTTTATGTGCCTACAATCTGGATACCAATAACCATGATTTTTTATTTTCATAAGATTAGCAATCTATTGTAATAAAGGTGATCTATTATTAATATATTCTTCCAAGAGACATTCACCATTTTTGCTACGTGCCAATTCTTTAGCAACTGAAATATCAAGCCTGGTATCAGAGCATGTCCTTTTATACATTTCCATGTCAATGGAGTATTGCAATTAATATAATCAGAAAGACATTGCCCACCTCGACTTTTAGCAATTTTGCAAGCATCATATATTGAATATTTGTTTTGGAATGGCGTACTAACACAATGTGAAAACCACATTTAATATTTTTAAACGAGGCACTTCAAATGTGGCTTTGGTGGAATTTCCATAGCATCGGAATCTTATTATTAACATACTCTGTTGAAAAGCATTTGTGATTTGTATAGCATCTTCAAGAGTAAGCTTTGTACTTATCATAATTTGACACCACGATTTATCATATTTAACTTTTTTTCAGTAAAGCAGTCAGTCCATATATGATTTTTTGAACATCGCCATATTAATGGAGTTTTAGTATTTTTATATTCAGTTGAAATATATATTCCACTGCGATATTTAGTAATATTATAAGCATCTTTAATGATAATTTTTTCATTGAGAAAAATTTTTATCTTGAAATATTGGATTTAATTTATACAAACTCTTATGGGCTGTTCGAGAAGAGGAGATACGTAATGTTAACATTGTATAAACTAACTTATCATATTATTTATTTTTAAATATACATTATCGATTTGAATTTGTTTCGGGTTCAGAATTTGGACTTCAAATGATAATGTATTTTTTACCTTCGCTTTTTCCTTTTTCTGAAAATCTAGTGGAGTATCGAATTGCAAGTGGATTATCCTCAGGCCTATCTAGATCAAATACAATAAACTCACCTTTACGAAGATAGTTGTTAATAACAATAGATGCATTTTTTATATCATTGAATAATTTTAGAAATATCTTCATATGAGCCACCAGAGTTAAATAGTACCAAGTAATTGAAATTTTCACAATTAATAAGTTGGAATTGGACTAATATTTCTATGGCACCACCCTTATATAAAAAATTGATTAATTCGATTTTGAATATGTTCTGAGGCCAAACACACATCCTCAAAAATAATTACTGTACTTCTTTCAGGTGAGAACGAATTTACACTAGGGATTTTTTTCGGGTGCGATATAATATTTTCATAATATGGAGCTCTTAGATTACTTGCAATTAATCAGTACATATATCTAACAAATGTCCATTAGGATGATATCCACATACAATTTTTTCACAAGACATAATATTACTATCAACCGTAACGTTCATTGTTTGTATAAATGGTAATATTTTCTATTTTTTTTTTTAATCAATAAAATGAATCAATTAATTACTATTAATTAATTAATTTTAATTAACAAATGAAAAAAAAAAATTAACTTTACTAGGTTTACGTCACCTTTTTTTTTTTTGCGTTGCATATATGCATTTAATAACTTTATATAATTTACAAGTATCATTTTCTAGTTTCACATGCGTATCTTATATGACTTACGCTTCCCATGATAAAAAAAAAAGATTGAGATGGGATAAGATTTTTTTTTTTTAATTTGTCTGACGATTTGATCCTTGGATTTTACTTGTTACGCTTTTGTGTAAATTTGATAAACACGTAATAAAAATTAAATGAATAATAAAAATTATATCACTTCACTTTCATGTCATATATAAAGAAAGAGAATGAGGAATCATTAATGACTTTATTGATAATATAAAGTTTATTAATAGATTAATTATTTAATTACATGTTATTTAATAATAATGATTCTAATGACAGAAAGCACGTTCTTTAGGGTAAATAAATCATATAATATATCTGTTAATCTTATTATCCTCAGAACTTGGTGATAACCTTTAAAATATAAGATTTATTTTGATTAAATCATGAAAAGTTATTCACTTAAAAATATTTCTTTTGAAAAACAATGAAATAAAGCTTTTTTAAAGTAAAAAAATCTTGTTAAAGTTAGACGATATACACGTGAAATAAATGCCCTTATTTATGATCGTTTTTTTTTTTCGAGTTTTACTGTAATTTTGTGCGACATGTTTGATCTATACCGTTATGTTAAACTTTTCATTTTCGACGTAGATACTGTACTAACTATTGTTGATCGACCAAAGTATTATGTGATAAACGCGAAGTTTCTGTGAAAAATTAAAATTAAAAAGAATTTGATTGGTCAGAGAATTTAGTCACCCCCCGAATTTGATGAACTCAGTTAATATCTTACCGTTTCTGTAGTAATAGTAAAAAATGCATCGAGGAGATAAAGGAGAAGAAAAAAAAGATATTTCAAAACAACCTACGGTTGGAGTAGAACATAATAATACATCGGTTGGTCGATCGGAGTCTAGTTTACAAAAATCTTCTATAGTTTCGTCTACCACTACCTCTTCACAAACCCCTCGTCGATATTCTTCTTCTTCTACTCGTAGTTTTGAGAACAATGATTATTATACGACGTCCTCGATTAATCAACGGGTATCTTCTTCAATGTCTTTGTATGGTCGAGGTCATAATGGTTACAATCGAGGTCTTTCCCGTAGAATATCAATAAATTCTTCAATATCTAATTTTAGCACAATGTCCGAAACTTCCTTACCTTGGACTACCAAGGTATTTAAGAATAATTTATTAATAATTCACATTTTATTAAAATTTAATTTATTAATGTATAATTAATAAGTTTTTTTTTTTTTTTTTTATTTATAATAATAATAATAATAAAAAATAAATAATTAAATAAATAAAAAAAGGATATCGGGTTTAATGGTATTGCATTGATCAATGTATTTGTAAAAATTTTAATTTCATTTTATTATTATTATTAAAAATGTTTGATCTGATGAATTTAAAACAAAACGTTATTTAGCGATTTCTGGGGTTCTTAATAATCCAAATTCGAAATCCTCAAACACAGTAAAACCTTCAAAGAATGATATTCCTTCTGTACCCCACACTGTTATAAGAAAAGTGAAACCCGCCGATTTTAATAATTACATTAAACAAATTACTCCAGTATTTGAAAGATATAATCATAATAAAGAAATTGGAACCAATGATTTGGGAAGTTCGATATCTACAAAATCAGAAGAATTTACGAACGTCACAACTACCACTAATAATATATTATCAAATAATTTAAAAAATTTACAAACTAGTGATGGAAATGAAAATATTATTGAGATACCTGTACATAGACAAGAAAGTACACGAAATCCATATTCAGTTATTATACCTCCTACTCCAACTTCAACTGGAGATGATCGTCCAATAGAACCAATAATTGAATTACCATTTCTTGAAACAGTTCCTTCCATATTTTTTGAATCAGATTTTAATTTAGAAAATCCAAGAACATTTGATATAGTATGTGAAAATACTGATATTATTGAAGGAAATCCTAATAACTTGGGAGTTTCTACAAATGCTATTCTTCAAGAAAAACTTTCACATTATTTAGATACAGTTGAAGTTCATCTTATTAAAGAAATATCTTTAAGATCTTCTTCATTCTTTGCAGCTTTATCAAATCTTCAAGCACTTCATTCTGAAACATTAGAATGTGTATCACAAATTAATAGTTTACGTCAAAAATTAGCGAGTATAGATAATTCACAGGCTAAACAAGGGTTAGAAATCGTAAGACTAAAAAGACGTTATGCGAACATGGGTAAACTTTATGAAGGTATAAAAATGGTAACAGAAATTAGATCAACTCAACCTATGATACAAACATTATTAAGTCAAGGGGATTATTTTTCAGCTTTGGATTTAATTGATGAAACGAATACTATTTTACATGGAGGAGATCGAGTTCAGATAGAAGAAATAAATAATGATCGAAATTTAAAAACTTCAATTTTGTCACCTAGACAAACATCAGTTCGTCGATTAAGTAATGTAGTAGAAAAAACTAATATACTTGATTTAAGAGGAGTTAGAGTATTAATACATTTTAGTGGACAATTAACAGAAATGTATAAGATGATTGGTGTAATGATAGAAAATGATTTATTAAATATGTTATTCCTTGATTTTGAAGAACGTATTAGTAAAGTGAATAAATCAAAAATAATAAATAAACTTTGTAATTATCAGATTCCTCATTTAACAAAATATAATAATAATACTTCATCAACGATTAGGATTAATTCTATTAAAGAATCACCTGACATGAGTGAACAAGAAAAATTGAAAAAAAGAATAGCACCACTTATCTTGGGACTTTATAGGATGAATCGTTTCTCACTTGCATTACAAGCTTATCGAGAAAGAATGATGGAAGAAATTAAAAAAATAATTCAAATACAAAAGGTTAGTTTCTTATATAAAATTAGGAATTCCAACTTTATATTTTATTTATAACTTAGGTGATTAATTTAAATTATATTATTTACATTATTTACATTATTTACATTATTTTATTTATATTCTTTAGCATTTACCATCACCAATATTACTTTCAGAACATATGGATGATCAAATAAAGGATTTACCAAATGAACAAGGGTGATTAAATTTTGTATTATTTTTTTTTTTTCTTTTAATATTAATAATATTAATTATTTATTAATAATAATGTTTTTGATTTTAAATAGTTCGAAATTGTTAAAAGGAATGACATTTGATGCATTCTTAGACATGTTATTGTCTATATACACGATTTTACTTGAAGGAATAAATTGTATTTCTATTTATCATGAACTTTTCTCTGATATTCTAAGTGAAGCACATAATTCCGGATTAGAACTTAATTTTGGTTCAGAATTGTTTAATACTGAAAATGAATCATTACAAAAGAACGTTGAAAATGAAAAAGGAAAAATTGAATCAATTGAATCAAGTGAACCAAGTGAATCAAGTGAATCAAATGTACCAAGTGAAAAAGAAAAAGAAGAAAATCTTAAAATAAATGGAGAAGAAAAAGAAATCGAACCACAGGTTGAACCTAATCCATCAAGCAGTTCAAGATTTAGTACTGCTTTAAAAATAACGACCGGTATTAAATCTATGATTAAAAAGACATCATCAACTTTAACAACTAAGATGAATACTACGCTTCCTTCTGAACCTTCACTTAAAGAATCGGAAACTATATTACCTTCATCAACCTCATCAACCTCACCACCCTCACCACCATTACCATCACCAACACCTAATACAAAACAAACAAATGTTAAATCAGATTTGAATTCTAATTTTATGCAGTTATTATCTGATTCATCACAAATAGTTTTTGCTGCTGCAGATCTTGCACATGTAAGATGTGCTAACTTGATAGCAGTTCGTGCGGATCAAAATGCTCAATTAAATCAAAAAGATTTTTATCGATTATTTAATGTGACTTGGGCATTTGTATTAGAATGTGAAAGTTTATGTGGACGTATGTGTTATGGTTTACGTGGAACAATATCTTCACAGGTATTATATAATTAAATATAATTAATATAATTATCATTTTAAATAATTTTTTTTTTTTTTAATTTTTTAATAATAATAATAATATTATTATTATTATTATTTAAATATTTATTAAAAATTATTTTTTAAGGCAAAATCATTCTTAAATCATTTTCATATGGAAAAAACAAAACAAGAGATAACCCTGGTTGAAAATGAGCAATGGGTTCAAGCCGAAGTTCCAATTGATTTTCAAAAAATTGTTAATAAAATAATTGTGGCAGCGACGAATGGATTAAATGATTTCAAAGATGATTTATCAGATCCATTATCATCTCCATTGTCACCAACATTTCCTTTTACTCGTACGTCTTTTCAAATTGAAGATAAATCTCGAACTTCTAATGGTAATACAGAACAAAGATCTTCCAATAATTCTAATAATAATAATTCGACCGGAAAATTAAATAACACTAGTAGTCGATATATTTTTGTTGAACATCGACAATTCTTTGTTGTTGGATGTAGTTTATTACTCATCAAGATGATCGGTGATTATCTAAGATGTATGGCAAACATTCCTGCTCTAACCAATGAGACGATGAATAGAATAATGGAAATTTTAAATGTATATTATTTATTATTTATTATAATATTATTTTTATTTTTAATATTGTCTAATGTTTATATAATCATATTTTATTTATTTTATTTGAAAATTAAAAATTGATTTCACATTTCATCATCCATTAGTTATTTAATTCTCGAACTTGTCAAGTGATTTTAGGTGCTGGAGCCATGCGTTCAGCTGGTTTAAAGAATATCACTGCCAAGCATTTAGGTAAATAAATGATTTATTTTTAATATATTATAATATATATATATATATATATTTTATTTTATTAATATTTTATATTTATAATAATATTTATAATAATAATTATAATAATATTTAATAATATTAATTTTATCTTAATTAATAGCTCTCACATCGCAATCTCTTGGAGCAATGATTGCATTAATACCATTCATACGAGAATGTATTCGTCATAATCTTAATTCCAAACAAATAGTAATGCTGACTGAATTTGATCGTATTAAAAGAGTAGGTTTACGCAAAGTGTTATTATTTTCATTCCATTTTTTTTTTTTAAAAAAATTTTTTTTTCTCAATATTTTCTTTAATCTTTTTTTTTTTTTTTTTAGGATTATGTAAATCATCAAAATGAAATACATATTAAATTAGTTTCAATAATGGATGACCGTTTAAGTAACCACCTACGATCGTTCCAGGTATAGTTTTTTACAAACCCATAATTAATATACGTAATTATTTAATATTATCAATATTCTAAAAATGGTTCAACCATTTTTTTCTCTATAATTATTTTAGTCAATCAATTGGGATAATACAAATGTAGTAGAAAGCCCCAATAGTTATATGGAATCATTGGTAAAAGAAACTACTACGTTAAATAAGGTTTTAAATAAATATCTTCCACCAGAATTTTTGAAGGTATTAAAAAATTGATAGATTTCTTTTTTTTTTTTTTTTTTAATTAATTGAGAATGTTTAGAAATATTTATTGAATATCAAATAATTTTTTTAATTTTTTTTTTATAGAATGTGATGTTTGAAATTTACAAATCCTCAATTCCTAAATTATCTGAAGAATTTTCTAAATTAAATGTTTATACACCTGCTGGAAAAAAACAGTAAGATATTTATTTATTGATTTATTTAATTATTGATATTAATTTATTTTAATCTCAATTTGTTAACATTTATTATTTTAAATATCGTTAAAGGGTTTTAACTGATGCAAAATATTATATCTCAAAATTATCTTCATCGGAGGGACTTCAAGATTTAATCGACGGATTAGAGAGTACAGTCAATGATTTGCAAATTAAAGAGGAAACGATAATTCAAAGTTCGGGATAATAATTTATTTCAAATAAATTCATCAAAAACTTATTATTATTTATGAATCAATTTTTTTTTTTCAATTGTATTACAATACTAAAAATTCAAATTATATTTTTTATTACTTTAAATTACATTCAAATGTAATATTATAAAAAAAAAAAAAAAAAAAAAACTTTATATAGAGTCTGTAGAAATTCTTTAGAAATAATACTTATTTTTCTTAATTATAATTTTAAAATTTTACTTAATACTTATTCATTTTGTCTTGAATTTTAAGTAATATCAACACAGAATATTGAAATATAACGTAGTTAATAAAAAAGTTATATGAACAAAATTATTAGAATAAATTCCAATCAATTAGTGAATCTCAAATAGCAAAATAAAAAATAAAATATTTGTGCTAAAAAAAATCATTATTATTATGTTTGTATTTGAAACGCTTTTGACATAGTTTATAGAATAGTTCAAAATCTCATTTCAAATTTTCATAATTAAAATCTTTATAACCATTAAAACAAAATTTAGACTAAATTTCTCATAAGATCTATAGAGCGTAAATAAATAAAAAAAAAAAAATATAAAAAATTACATTTCACCAAAGTATATACCAGTTCTAACACTTCATTGAATTTTTTAACTTCAAAAGAAAAATGGGATAATAGCTGACTTGATTTGAGAAATCTTATAAAAATGCTTTTTATCCAAGCGAAATTCACTCAATGTTATTCGATCACCCAACATAAAATAACAATAATAATAAGATTTATGTTATTCAAAAGAAACTAGTACATAAAATAAAGTAATTCATTGCCGATGCACTGTATCTCATGTAGGTATAAATGTCTCGAAGTAACGAGAGTAAACCAAAAATGTCATCTTCTCGGATGTGCTTTAAAGTGAAATTCTCTAGAACCCCTGATAACTCAATGAATATTTCTTTTTTGTCACAAGCCTTGAAGTCAATCTACTTTGTTTAGTTTTAGAAATAACATTGTTAAATCTTTAATGTAATTGGCTTGAACTTCCATCCAATCGAATATGTATTCTTGATAAAAAGACTGAATAGCCTTGAACAAAGGAACAATTTTTATCAACTGTATATTTCCTTTCCCTGATATAACGAATCAAATATCTCTCAATAGTCATGTATTTTGTGATTGCGAATTAGTCAGTTGTGTAAAAAATAATATATAGAATCCCGGTAATATACTCATAACTCAATAGAGAATATTTTATGCAGACTTTCCAGAATGGATGGCTAGGATTTAGTGGAAAACAAATTTTCTTTGTTATTTGCAATTGTCTCTAGATTTGTCTTCAGCCAGCTACTCTCTTTATGAAAAATACCACTAAAGTCGTTTTTCCTTTTTCGAAATTCGTAATATTCGTGATTGGACCAACATTTAGGTTGTGGCTCATCGAAGTATGCGAGATTTGAGACAAGATTTTTTTTTTTTTTAATTCTTTTTTTATAACCAATGGAGCCTCAACTCCAGGAAATATACAATTTATAGAACAATTAATTACATAAAAGAGTTAACCAAAACTAAAAACTAATTTACGGCTCGGCCCATCGTTGCCCAGTAAAACCTGGGAGAGCGAGATTTGGGACAAGATAAAAATGTTTACAAGTTTTTTTAGTGATAATTTTTTTATTTTTGATTATCGTGATTAGAACTGTTAATCGAATCCCAGTCAGATGATTCGAATTTAGGAATTGTATAAATTAAGTAAATCTCGCATTTTTTGATGTTTCAAAAAAAAAATTCGTTTTTTTTTTTCAAACAAAAAAAAAAATGAAATTGAAATATAATATTATAACATTCGTGATATGGATTATAAATATAATAATTTCTATAGATTCATTAAGTTCAAATGCTGAAACATCACCAGTTCAAATATGGCTAAAAACTTCTTGGAGTGCTCCACAATTAGTTCTTGAAATATTGTAATTTAATATCATCATCTATAAACAAATTAATATATATATATATATATATATTTATAACATCAATATATAATTTACGATTTTGGATTATGTAGGGAATCTGTGGCGGCTGAAAATTCGACAGCATATTTTCCACTTGTAGAAGAATTTCTAAGACAAGGATTATTTTCCTCCAAATTAACCAATTATGAAATATACAAATCAGCTCTTGATATAATAGAAAAGGAAAAATTCTTATCTACACCTACAACCAAATCATTATTTGAATTTGGTCTCTCATTACATACCAAAGCACCCACAATTCAATCATATTATCATTATTATAATTCAACAATAATTCCAACCAAAAAACTTTCCAATGAGGAATTTAATTCGGAATGTAATGTTTGGGTTGATTGGTATGGTAATCAAGCTTGTAATGTTGAAAGTTTAACCAAATTTATTGATACTAAATTGGATATATTAAAGTAAGAGTAAGAAAATTATTTTATTTTAATTTAATTTTTAATTTTAATTAATTTATAATTTATAATTAAAATTTATAAATTTAAAATAGATCAACACCTAAACTTTTATCATTCGATCATATATATAAATCTAAAGTGAATGAATCGGAATATATGATAATTTTATACGCCGATTTGTCATCACCAGAATTTCCGGAATTCTTTAATTTCTTAAATTCCGGAATTCAAAATATAAATACAAATTATGTATTAAGATATATTCCACCTAAAGAAAATCAAGAATCATTATATTTATCAGGATATGGAGTAGAATTGGCTTTAAAAAATACAGATTATATTGTGATTGATGATCGTAAAGTAGAAGCAGGTAAAATATTTAATAGATTTAATAGATTTAATAGATTTAAATAGATATAATTTATTATTGAATTTAAAACATATTTGATATTTGATATAATTTTCAATATCTAATAATTTTACTACTATTTTTTTTATTTTATTTTATTTTTAAAGAAACAGACAATGTAGATAAAGATAAAGAATCAATAGATAATTCCGAACCCTCTAATGATTATTTATTTGATCAAGATATTTCCGAAATCAAACCTCTTAAAGCTGGTGAAATTAAGAGTAAAGTTTATCAATATTAATATTTTTTGTCATCCTGTTTTTTTTTTTTCCTTTAATGTTTATTTAATAAAATATTTAATAATATATTTAATAATATATTTAACTTTAGGTTTGGGAGTCAAAACAGCACAGGTTATATTGGAATCAAAAGATCCATTGAAGACACTTACACAATTATCACAAGATTTCCCAAAATATTCACATTATATATCTCAAGTACCATTGAGTTATTCATTAGGACAGGAAATTGGAATGAATCAAGAAAATTCACGTTTAGAACCAAATTCATTTTGGCTTAATGGATTAGTAATAAATCCTTTATCTGTTGATCCATTTAGGTAAATTCTAAATAAAAAAGAACTTAATTCGTTTTTTTAATGATAATTATATATCTTTTTAATAGATTATCAATAATCAATATTTCTCTTTAGTTTATTAAAATTATTATGCCGTGAACGTCAAACGATTTCATCGTTTCTAAATCTTGGTTTAAATCCAGGTCAAGCGATAGGAATACTTTCATCACCAATTATATCCGAAGCTCAATTATCTCAAGATTCTCCAAGAGGCGTTTTTGATGTTCGTGATACCTCCCCTAATAATAATGTAATTGTATGGCTGAATGATATTGAAAAGGATTCGAGATATTCTTCTTGGTCTAATCGTATTTATGATGTAAATTTTATTTTATTTTTTTGTTTTATTATCATTATTTTATTTTTATTTTTATTTTATTTTATTTATGTATTATATGTACATTATAAAAATAGATTATTATTTTATTTATTTTTATTTATATTAATTTATATTGTTAAATATTATTAAATATTATAAAATATTTTTGATATTCAGTTACTTCGTCCAACATATCCAGGACAATTACGAATGATTCGCAAGAATATATATTCAATCTTATTTATATTAGATCTTTCATCTCCTGAAAATCTAAATATCATAGTTGACCATGTAAATAATTTTATATCCCGAGATATTCCTTTAAGGTTTGGTTTTATACCTCTTTTTTCCAAAGATCAATCTGATGGTGAATAATTTTTATTAAATATTATTTTATTATAACATTTTATATTTTATTTTTATTAATGTTATTTATTTTATTTTATCATTTTAATTTATTTTATTAATGTTATTATTTTGTTCGTTTTAAAAAAGCCATTGCAATATCAAGAATATTTTATTACATCATTGATCAATTTGATCCATCGATAGTGATGAAGTTCTTTGAAATGGTATGATTAAATAAATTATTAATGAATTTAAATATAAAATAACTATTATATTATTTATTATTTTTGATCAATTATATGTTAATTATTATTATTATTATTGTTATTATTAATTAATTAATTAATTAATTCTATTAATTTTATTTGACAGATATATTCAGAAATTCGAAAACCATCAAAAGACGAATTTTTAAAAATAGTTGAACAAGAATTCAATAAATTAATTGATAAAGAAGTACCCAAGAATGAGAAATTGGTTAATTCATTTGAAGAAATTATAAATGGCAATAATGCTTTAGTTGAAGAACAAATTTATGAATCATCTAATTTTATTAAAAGATTTAAAATAAATACTTATGAGAGAGGTGTTTTATTTATTAATGGAAAATTTTTTGATTTGGATGAGGTAATTATTTTATCATATTTTTTTTTTATATATATCATATTCATTTTATATAATATATTTATTATTTTATATTTAAATATTAAAGTATTCTATTCTATTATTTATATTTAATTATAATAATTTTAATAGTCTTATCAAAGAAATATGATACAAACTGTAAACGAGCATACTTCATTTTTACAACAAAAGGTATTTAATATATTATTATTATCATCATTTATTAATTTATTATTAATATTTTATTTCTTACATAATTTATTGTATTCAATAATAGGCATATATTGGAGAAATTAATGATGAAACCAATATTTATGAATATTTATTAACATTACCAAATATTCCTAATAGAAGGAATCCTTATATTTTTACATCTGAACTTCAACCTTTGCAAGTAATTAATCTAGCTGATGATAATAATGTCAATGATGGATTTTCTTTGGTTGATAATTTGAAATATGTTCATTCTGGTATTATTATTTTTATATTCTTATCTTGTATATTTATTTTTCATTAACATTATAATTAAAATATTATTAATCTTATTAATATAATTTACATTTACATTTCATATTATCTGTTATAGAGATTGATGACAAAGTTCCAGTCACCATAATTTTAATTTCAGATTTTAATAATGTGAATGGTATAAATCAAATAATAGAAGCTTTAAAATATTTGGTAATTGATTATTCATTAATATTATTAATTTCATTAAAAATAATAATTATATCATTATTATTATTATTAATGTCATTTGTTATTAATGTCATTATAATTATTTATTATAGAAATCTACGAAAAATGTTCGGATTTCATTTATTCATCAACCAAATCAATTATCGACCCAATCAAATTCGGAAAACCATTTCAATCCATCTACAATGATTTATCATTTATTATACGAAGACGAACCAATTACATCAAATTCTTCACATTTTCAATATATATTTGAAGAATATTTAGAACATTTAGAGGGAAATTCTAGATTTGGAGGGGATGATGAGAAACAGATTCCAATTGGACAGTCTTTCTATAATTTAGCTCATTCTTTGGGATGGCAGATTATTGAAAATCTTAAAGCCGAGAAATTTTGGCAAGATTTAAGTTATTTGAAAAATTCAATGAAATTTGAAAAAGATAAAACAACTATTATTGTAAATGGTAGAGTAAGTATTATATTATAATATATTATTATTATTTTTATTATTATTATTTTTAAATTATTATTATTAAATCATTATTGTTAATTATATAATCTTTAATTTATAGATAATTGGACCTTTTGCTCAAGATGATATTTTCAATGATGATGATTTTAAATTATTAATTGATGTTGAATTATCCGAACGAATATTGCCTGTTGTGCAGGTCTTGGATGAATACAAATTAATAGAATTAGAAGGGTAAATATTAATCTAAATAATAATTTATTGAATTATTATTTATATTATTTATTTATATTATTTATATTGATTAAACAATATTTATTATTTTTTTTTAATATTAATATTTATTTATATTATTTCATTTAGCGATGATTATTCTAATTTCATAGCAAAAATTTCATCAATTATATCAGCATCTAGTGTATCAGATATTCCAATTGGGATTTTTGATGAACAAGAACATAAACGCGACATCACGTTTATGAAATTAAGAGGTGATAAAAGTCGAATTAGAATTGGTAACGCGAAAGATGCTGTTTATCATATTATGGCTGTTATTGATCCAATAAGTGAAATTGCACAAAAATGGTCAACTATTTTGACGGTAGATATATATATATATATTTTTTAATTAATAAATTATTAATAAATATTTATTTATTGATTATTTATTATTATTAATTATTATACATATGTATATTTATTTATTTAGATATTATCACAAATGGAAGGAGTTTATATAGAAATATATTTATATCCTCGATTACATATGGAAGAAATTCCCTTGAAACGATTTTATCGTTACGTTTTAAATCCTAGATTGAATTTTGATTCCAATAATGGGTAAAATTATTAATTAATTGATTATTTTATTTATTTATTTATTTATTCATTTATATACTTTAATTATTAATTAATCAATCAATTCTATTATCGATCGATCAATCAATCTATTAAAAAAAGATCAATTATTCCATCATCAGCAAATTTTGTTAACCTTCCAGATGATGTATTATTAACATTAGGAATGGATGTCATTTCATCATGGCTTGTTACACCTAAATCATCAATATATGATCTTGATAATATTAAATTATCAAATTTAGATATTAAATCACGAACCAAAGGAATTGAAGCAATTTTTGAATTAAAAAATATTTTACTCGAAGGACATGCACGTGATTTAACATCAAATAATAGACCACCTAGAGGACTTCAATTACAACTTGGAACCAATAGTTATCCTTCTATGGTTGATACTATAGTTATGGCGAATTTAGGTTACTTTCAATTAAAAGCGAATCCTGGTGTTTGGACTTTAAGTTTAAGAGAAGGAAAATCCACTGATATATTTGATATTCAAAGTGTTGGTAGTGAAGGTTGGTTGAGTAGAAATATAAGTGAAATTGGTAATGAAATCGTTTTAAATGGTTTTGAGGGATTAACTATTTATCCAAGAATGATTAGAAAATCTGGTAAAGAAAATGATGATGTTCTTAAAACTGAAAATGAAAATGATAATGATGGTATTTGGGATTATTTAAAGCATAAGTATGTAATAATTTTTATTATTATTACTATTACTATTATTATTATTATTATTATTATTATTATTATTAATATATATTTATTATTATTATTATTTTAATATTTATTATTATTATTACTATTATTATTATTATATTATAATATTTTTATTTATAGACTTACTCCTAAAAAAGATGAAAAAAAGAAAGCTGAAATCAATATTTTCTCTGTGGCTTCTGGACATCTTTATGAAAGATTTCTTTCTATTATGATTCTTAGTGTACTTCGACATACGAATAGTACTGTCAAGTTCTGGTTTATTGAAAATTTCTTATCTCCTTCTTTTAAGGTTATTATAAAATTATTAATATTATTATCAATGTTTATGAAAGTAATGTTTTAATTTTAAAAATAATTTTATATTAAAATTTTTATTTATTTCTATTTTAGGATTTTATTCCTTACATGGCAAAAGAATATAATTTCGACTATGAACTTGTTACATATAAATGGCCACACTGGTTACGTGCACAAACTGAAAAACAAAGAACTATTTGGGGGTATTGAATTTATTATTATATTATTATATTAATTTGTTATTTTTATTTATTATATTTATTTATTTATTTATATATTTATTTCATTTTATTATATTTTATTAATCATTTATAATGTATATTTATTTAGTTATAAGATCCTATTTCTTGATGTACTTTTTCCATTGGATCTGGATAAAGTAATTTTCGTTGATGCGGATCAAATTGTGCGTACTGATCTTAAAGAATTGGTAGATATGGATTTACAAGGTGCTCCTTATGGTTATACTCCATTTTGTGACAATCGACCTGAAATGGATGGTTTTAGATTTTGGAATCATGGTTATTGGAAAGATCATTTAAGAGGAAAACCTTATCATATTAGGTAATTTTGATTTTCATTAATAATATTATTATTATCATTATATTATTATTATCATTTATAATATAAGTTACAATTAATAATATAAGTTACTACTTCCCGTTATTATCGTATCGTTTTTTTTAGTGCCCTATATGTAATAGATTTACAAAAATTCCGTCATATGGCTGCTGGTGATAATTTACGTGGACAATATCAAGCTCTTAGTGTTGATCCAAATTCTCTTTCTAATTTGGATCAAGATTTACCGAATAATATGCAACATTTAATTCCAATTTTTTCTTTACCTCAAGATTGGTTATGGTGCGAAACTTGGTGTAGTGATGAATCTTTGACTACTGCTAAAACTATTGATTTGGTAATTAATTAATTATTTATTTAAATTATTAGATTTATTTATTTATTAATAAATAATCATTATTTATATTTATTTATTTATTTATTTATTAAATGAATTCTTATTTATTAAATTAATTATATTTTTAATTAGTGTAATAATCCTTTAACAAAAGAGCCTAAACTTGATAGAGCAAAAAGACAAATTCCTGAATGGGAATCATATGATAAAGAAGTCGCTAATTTGGCTGCTAGAATTGCTCAACAAAAAGATTCCATTTTAGTGAGTAATGAAATTCAAGACCAAAAGATTACAGAGACTAATGCTAATGAGATTAAGACTAATGACGAGGCTAATGAGGCGATCAATGATGAGACCAATGCTGTGTTTTATGATGATGATAATAGTATGATTTCTGATGATGAGACTAATGATGAGAGCAAAGAGAAAATAATTGTAAAAGAATCTACTAATTTCATTTCATCTACAAGTCCCATTACTCATATAAAAGATGAATTGTAATATAACTATAATATAAATATTAGCTTAATTAATTTCTAAGTTATTTTTATATTCATTCATTTAACTTATTTTAAAAGTTCTTATTTTTAGTTTAAATGGAATATTTTTTATTTATATTCTGTTATTTCGAAATAATGTAAATGTTATATTATTTATTTATTATTCAAAACTGTAACTTTCATCATTTTAGAAAACATAAATAAAAAAAAAAATAAGAAAATAATTGGAAATATTTTTATTGTATAAATTGCAAAAAATAAAATTATTATACTGTTTATTTAAAATCAAACATAATTAAAATTCTTGTGTATTTTATTCTTGTCAACGCAACGATGAGTTTGATGATCTAATTCAAGGTTAGGTTGACCTTCAACCACTCAGTAATAAACCTAAGTGATTTTTGATAACCTTCTTAAAGTAATCAAAGTAACGCAATCACATTCTGTAATTTGCAATGCAGATACCCTCGTTCTTAAAGAATACAAATGAAGAACTCTTTGAAGATGCAATAATAATAACTTGTCCAAATTGATAGAAATATCTAGATGAATTAATAGCATAGTGACACTTCCTGTCGTTAATATAATAACAATTATTTATCATCAGGAAAGTTTCTAGGCATAATATTACGAACCCTATGTATATTTTACGGTATTCAACGGTGTTACTGGAATGAAATACATATTATTTTGTAGCCCTTAACTGGGGCTTTTGATCAGTCATAAGAACACCCTAATAAAAAATCGCACTTTGATCACTATTTGTGAGTCAGGGAGCGATTTTCTATTAAGGTGTTTTTATGACCGATCGAAAATCCCAGTTCTGGATACAAGAAAATATGTGTTTTATCCTTATAGCACCGATATCCGCTGAGATATTCCCGTTTAAATTCCATATAAATACCGTATAATATATTAAAATCTACACTGCTTTTTTTTTATCCTCCACTCATCTTTTTAGATCCAATTTATTTATTAACGAACCATTTTTCACCCTTAGAGTTTTGAACTCCAAAAAGGGTTCAAAATTCACACGAACGGTTAGACTGACTGTCACAATCTGGTTGGAAATATTGTAAAGTCATACAAAATGGAGAAATAAATGTTTCTTATATTGTAAATTTAGTAACCCTCATAATGTTCCAAACAAACTGTTCAGTCGATCAAAATTAACTTGCTATTTTCTTCCACCAGAAGGTGGAATTGCTCTTGTTTACACCAATACTATACAACTTTAGGGGCACAAAAAACGTGGCACTTCCGTATTTTCCCCACAAATCAATGACATTGGATACATATTCACAGAAGTTACAAAGTCTTAATTTGCACATATGTAAAACTAAGGCCGATGCCTTTCCTAATGAACTGGAAATTATTGGATTGTATTTTTTTCATGTCCTTATGGTATAAGCAAGCAAGCACCATCTGATTTTAAGTACCTGAGAAATATTTTCTCTTCGTCTTTTGTTTTTTTAATTTTATGTTGTTCATAATAATTACTATTTCCCTCTTCATTTTTTGTTGGTTTAAACCCAAATTGGTAGTATCGCAATTTCCTCCTTCAGCTTTCTTTTCATCTTTTGTATTTCCAATTCCATTATTCCTTTACAATAACAATTACCAAGATTATACTGTCCGAGAGTATCTCCTCCCTCGACTGATTTCATGTACCACTGAAATGTTTATTCTTCATCTCTTGTAGTTCCAAGTAACATTCCAAGGTTATCCTGTCTCAGATAATTTCCTCCTTTAGCGTAATTGATGATGGAGACGCTAACACGTGGGAAAATTGCATACATCTGCTTAACCCGAACCATCATCATTGCTTAAATTAAAAATTTGATTATTTTGGCTGGGAATCCTAAAGAGTTTTCTTCCGTTTCAATTTTTTTTCTTAGTTATGTCACAATACACATAAATGCAACCCTAGTGAGTAGTATACTAATTAATAATGCAGAATGATCACAAACCAAACTAAAAAAATGTGCACTAAAAGAACATAATACAATAAATTATACCATATCAAACAACTATATCAAAGAAAAAACACATGGAAAGGCATAGACCATCTGTTCCATATTTTTAATTTTTTTTTATTTCCTAATAAAAGAGGTAATCCACGTAAATATTGCAGAATTAATTACTTTTAATATAGTGAAATTAGAGTCTCAACTGATAAATTCTAACAAAATAAATTATAGATAAGAATAAAATTGAGAAAATAAATTTTTAATTTTATTTTAATTATTTAAGAATATATTTGATACATGATGCAAGTTTTCTCAAAACTGGACATAAATATGGGAAGAAATGGGGTTGTACTCATTTTGTTTATTTTATTATATTCATAAAGAATGTTTTATAAAAAATAAAGATTTAATTTTGAAACCAATAATAGACCGTATAAAAAAGTTTCATTCATGAATTTGTACAGACTTTGTAATTATTCAAAATCCAAATATCATAGTGTTCTAATGAAATTCATTGAAAGGAAAGGTATAAAATATCTGGAATATAACCTTTGGAATTTTTTGCATCTCGTATTACAGGTATAGGCTTGTCAAAAATTTTTTGATTGATATTTTAAAAATATTTGAATTATTTATGAACACCTAAATATATATTTTTTCATAGGGAGAGTGATACATCCAGACTTTGACTTCACATTTTAGCATATTGTCTTTAATTATTTGATTTTTTTTTTTTTGCATTTATATACTAATTATATATTTAAGATAAGCTAAAACAAGAAAGGCTACATGTTTTAATTTCTACATTAGAAAGTGGTTTATAATTTTTTTTTATTTTTATTTAAATTTTCAATTACTATATTTCCTTGTTAAACTTATATTTGTTCACAAATAACTTATATAGCTATGATGAATGAAACTCTAGATATTCTTGTGATTATTTGGTAGCTATAATAAAAAACAAAGCTATAGCATAGCTTTTAAGCGAAGAATATGTACATTTGCTCATTGTTGATGCACTCATTGTTCAAGTAAAGTGATTAATGAAAAAATCACACGTTTGCAATGCACTGCAACAAAGCACGATTTAAATTTTTGAGCATCCTTATTTAAATAGATCATGGCAAAGAGCTCTAGATAAAATCCATTCAATGTTTGCTGTTGTTATTTAATTAATTCTCATCTATTCTTGATTGAATTTAAAGTTTTCTATACTATATTATATCTGATTTATTTCTTACTTAAGCTTAATATTTAACATTTTTATTTTAAAAGAAAATTATGAGTCTGTGGTGTTGAAAATCATTAAATGACTAATGAAATTATTTACTCTTCAATATTAATATCAAATATTTTAAAAGAATGTTAAATCCGATTTTATAAGATTAATCATTGATTTCAATCGATATATTTTTAGAATCTTTTTTTTTTTTTTTTTGATAACAGAATAGTTAAATAAAGGTCATGATGTGATCCATCTGTTTATAAGGTTTTTTTTGTGCAGCTCATTTATACTATATATAAGCACATATCCAGGCAGGAAAAGATGGCAAAATATTATTTTTATAGATCATTTAAATTTCATTCTCAGCTTAGCTTAATATTTCTGATGCTATGTATTTGGAAGTACTAAAAGTTACTGCTCTAAAAAGATGTTTATATTATTCTAAGTTTAACAATGTTTTTTTACTTCTTTAATTGATCCTTTCAAGTCGAATTTTCCTTCATAAAGTTTTTATTATAAAAAATGAGTTTGATGCAGTTATTATGTAATAATGATTTGATTTTAAATTCTGATAGGCTCTTTTTGTTTGTTATTGATATTTATCTAATTTGACAAAATTCTATAGGAATCATTCTATTCTATTTTTTATCATCATATCTAAGAAATATTATATTATGCTAACTAGTGACAACTAGTCAGTCATTATAGTTCTATTATGTCATTTGCAAGATTCTTTGTCATTTAGAGTCTAAAATAATAAAATGATCCTCGAATATCATCTATGACATTTTTTTAGTAATTTCTAATTTTTATATGTTAAAAAATAATGAGCATCTTTTTTATATAAAATTTAATGAGATTCATCAGATAGTTTAACATTTTCATTGTTTTTATTATTAATGTCCCCAGAAATTACTTTATATTATGGAGGATAACATAGTGATGACTTTTTTGAGGCAAGCTTGAAAATTTATTATTTTGAAATCGAACTTCTCGCAAGTTATTGGATTCATTATATTGTTATGGATTGGTTAAATGTATGATCAATATCATCATCAATATAATGCATCTTGTAATCTGTCCTTTATCTGTAAATCTATAAATCATTATCTTTTGGACTATATTAAGATTGCATCATGTAGTTATTATTATGAAATAAAATGCATTAAGCAGGCAGCTATAGTTTTTCAATACTATTTAATGTACAGCAAAATCTGACCTTTTAAAAGACTGTTGATTTATAATTCTGAAAATTAAAATTTTGAAGGCAAATTATCTCCGTGTATCCCATAATTTTTTGTTTCTAGGAGTACTTTTCTTAATCATCTCCTATTTCTTTGATTTGACAGTACAGGATAATTTCCCACTATTTGGTCTTATTTAATTATTTATAATTATAATCCCATGAAAATTTCTATTCTTTTAATAATAAAATTCAAACATATTATTTTATAGATTGAAGCAATTTGTATTTTGTTTTAAAGAAAAAACAAATATATGTAATAATCTGTTTTCATTTCTTTATTCAATCTATTATTAATTTATCTGTGCTTTTCAGTGATCATAGTTCCTATCTTCATGGAACCTCATCACTGACCATTCCACCTTTAAGCCTTTTTTCATGCCACAAAGCATTGGTCAGGTGGATACCTACCCTCCAAGACTATTCTTTCTGTTATATCATGTATTTCATTTATTTTTTTAAAAAGCAATTTAAAAAATATAAATTTCATTTGAAATGCAAATTTATGTATAGTGTTCCTTTGAATAGTTATCTAATTCAATTATAAGAGTTATTGTAACATATTTCTCTGCACTTTGATGATGTGAGACTTCCAACTTTAAAGTTTGTTTGTTTTCAATTTTCTTAAATAATAATAAATATCGATACTGATCTGAAA